AATTGATAGAGTTATGTAATAATTAATTTATTTGATAAATTTGAAATTTTCTAATCCCTAGTTGGTTATTGACTTAAGTTCACTTTTTATGATAACTCTAAATAAATTTCTTAAGACATGATTTTCAAAGTAGTATACTTTACTTAAGCCTTAACTTGGACTTTTATTTAAAATAATGAAATTTTTGCATGCCTAACTTAGAATTGAAAATAAATTTTCAAATTGTCTTGATTTACATATTTTTCAAAAAAATATATACACAAACAAAAAAAAAATATATTTGCAAAAGAAGAGTGCGAAAAACGGGCACAAAAAAAAACTCTTGAATTCGAGGTGATTCTATCTTATTAAGCCTAAGCTGACCGAGTAATTAAGCCCAAGGAGTATTTCCATACTTAATGACCTAAGCCCATTTGGGTTGGGATCCATTGGCCCAAAACTCGTTAAATGGTCACTTAGAAAGCCCGTTAAAGTAGAAAAGAAAATCACCAAGAAAGAAAGAGTTAATAATAATAATAATAATAATAATAATAATAATAATAATAATAATAAATAAATAAAATACTAATAAATATTTTATAATTGTATATATGGTCTTGGAAAATATTTTAAATCAAGCAACTTGAAATTTATTTAAAACAAAGAGTTATCATGTTCTTTTCAAAACTTTTAAATTAAATTTCTAAGTTTGGCTTGGTTTTGTATTGCTACAATGAGAAAATTTTCTTAAAAATATACCTTAGAGTTATATAAAAAAATGTTTTCTTGAGTGATAACTGGCTCCAATTAGATTATCTAAAAGTTATCAAGTGAATTTAGTTATTTACTGACTTCTTTAATTTGGCAAGTTGACCGAATTTTGTGGGTATATTCACTGCAAACCCTCACGAGACTACAACTCGTCCACTAGGGTAACCTAGGGGTTTAAAGGCTTGTTGTATGCGCTAAATACAACCGCGATTCCTGCGAAAGTGAGTTAGGATTTTCTTTTTATTTTCTTTGCTAGAGGACTAGCAAAAGTTTAGGTGTGGGGGTATTTGATAATCACATTTTATTACAATTTTATACCCTCATTATCTATTTTATATGAATAAATATACCACTAATAATTATTTTTATCTTTTAATTGCAGGTTAATGAAGAATAAATCTCAAACTCTCATCTCTCAACAAAAACCCATTGATTAAATGAAGAAATGAAGCAAAGAAGCACATTGGAAAATCAATTTCCAAATTATCCAAAAGCCCAGAATGAAGTTGTGTAGCCTGTAGAAGCCGGAGAAAATCAAAAATCCAATATGAAGAGAAATTATATTCAAGATGGTTGGCCGCAAAGAAATGACGATATCTCCCAATCCGGAAGGCGGAATTTAACATATAATATATGAAAATCGCCTATCTCGACGAGATGAAGCTATCCATGAAATCAGAATTTGGAATTAGTGGGCATCGATGTCGGCATCGATGCTGGCATCGATACCTGCATCGATGCCTGCATCGATACCAGATTACTGTAGCGCGCGTCAATGGCTGATTTTGCTTGTCTTGGGGCTCAAGTTTGATCCAATGGCTCTCATTCACTGATGTTTACTATAAATAGGGGTAGAGAGTGAGGGGTTAGATGTGTAAAAATTTTGTAAACTCCTTTTGGAGAGAAGGGCTACTCTTAATTGAGAAGACCTTCCAAAAATTGTAACTTTAGTTGTAATTAATAATAATAATTTTTTCACCACTTTAAATTTTTCTCTTCTTCTCTTTATTGGATTATGAAGATGAAGATGAAGATGGAGAATTATTTGAAGGTTTGTATTTCTTTTCTTTTTCTCTTTTATTGCTTATTAGTGTAGCTTTATTTCTATGCTTGTAGTTAGATTTTATTTTCTTGTTAAATAGCCAAGAGGCTAGAACCCTCTTGCCTTAGATTTATTTCATGCTTATAGATTAGATTTATTTCATGCTTATAGAGTAGATTTATTTTCTTGCATTTAATTCTTACAATTTTATTTTGTAGTTTATATTTTGCAATTTATTTTGTAGTTAGATTTTAATTTCTTATACTATTCACCTTGAGGCTAGAACCCTCTTGGGTTTAGTTTTTCTTTTTGTTTATTTTTATTTTGTTTGATTCGCCTTTAGGCTAGAACCCTCTAGGGAATCACTCTTTTCTAAGAAGTGGGTTCAATTTTAGATTATCCATATCTATAATTGAATCCACCATCTTTAATTTCTTGTATTTTCTATTATTCTAGAATTTTGTTCTTTATTCTTGATTTTTCATTTGTTTCTTGATTTTATTCATTTTTTTCTTCTTGCCTTATTGATCATACTCATTCTTTGTCACATCACTCTCACTTAAATTTTGCGCCGTTTCACACACTATCACTTTCACTCTCATTATCTCTCCATAATCACATTTACTCATCACTCCTTTTTGTCACGCACACAAAATAAGAACCAATTTCATATTTTCTCCTACAAAACACCTTCATCGTGGGATCGATATCTTAAATACTATAACTTGACACGGTTGTGCACTTGCAACTTTTTGATACATGTTTATGCCGCATCACCCGTGCATATATTTTACATATGATCGGTACTATTCTGTTTCCGGATTCCACTAAGGATTCCGTGCACGTGAGATGGTTACCGCTTCTTAGGGACCTATCGGAGTGTGGAGAGTTATCTTGGGGGAGTGCAGTGTTAGCCTATTTGTATAGGGAGATGACAAAAATAGCACTCGTACAAAACAAAGAATTGAAGGGCTACCTCACTTTGCTACAGATATGGTCATGGGAGCGATTGCATTTGGGAACACCTGATTTGAGGGAGGCCCGCGCTCTCGATGGCCATATTCCTTTAGGCTGCAGGTATTATTAAAATGCATGTAACGTTAGTGTTTTATTTCAATATATACTAACCCGTTGTATATAAAATAGATGGAATGTGTCCAGATCCTGGCAAACCTCTCCAAAGGGGCATGAAAACTTTTACAGAAACGAGCTTGATCAGATGGAGGATGAGCAGGTATAAAAATTTTAATATCTAAATATATTCAATTATGCGACCAATTGTTATTGATATCTAAATATATTCAATCAATATATCATAATATCTTATATCATAATATATTCTTTATAGGTCAAATGAATGCCCTACGAGCTAGTGTTAGAGTCACTACTGGATATTTGTCGGGAAGGTGAGGATGTATGGCGTGCTCGCATCCCACTAATATGCTTTGAGATTGTCGAAATGCACGTGCCTGACCGTGTGCTTCGACAATTTGGACTACGACAACATATTCCAAGGCCTGTGGAGAGAATAGAGAGAGCTTGGATAAAAGGTGCACATCGTGCTAATTGGGAAATAATTCGCCAAAATTACACCGGGAGGTGGGATTTAAGGGAGGAACAGGTAGTGATGGAGAGGGCTGATGCACCTGACCTAGGTGTGTACCTGCGGTGGTATTGGGGGATTACTCGCTGGTGGATATTTCAGGAAAACAAAGCCCCGAAGGAGTACATACCAAGAGGCCCAGTCGAGAGAGAGTTGGTAAGTGTATAAGAATAATATACAATTATTTTCTAAGTTTTATTTTCTCACCATCCACTTGATACTAATTTTCAATAATATACAATTATTTTCTAAGTTTTATTTTCTCACCATCCACTTGATACTAATTTTCTTTCGGTTTTATTTTATAGGTACAAGAGCTCGAAGAGCTTTCCGGAATGGCACATGACGCATTACGCACGACTACCGAGCAGGCGTCGAGGAACACGTTCCTTCGAATAATAAAAAAGATACGGTCGGCTCTTTAGAGGACGCGTAATGCAAGCCGCGATGGACGGGAGGAGCGACCAATAAAAAAGATACGGTCGGCTCTTTAGAGGACGCGTAATGCAAGCCGCGATGGACGGGAGGAGCGACCAATTGAGTACGGGCGGCGACGTCGACGAGGACACACGGGGGCGGGATCAAGCCGTGCACATGATGATGAAGCTGGCGGATCACAGGCCGGATGTTCACAGGCGGATCGAGTCGACGTGAATGTCGTGCGCTCCCAACTTCACACACAACCGGACGAGGAACTTATCCGAGCTCACGTCGAAGGTGAACGGGGAAGGGGGAGAGGAAGAAGAGGGAGAGGGAGAGGGAGAGGGAGGGGAAAGGGCGTTGTTGATATTTGTTAAGTTTCGATGGACTTGATAGGATGTTTGTGTTTGAGTTGCAATTTGGACTTGATATGTTGTTTGTGTTGCGATGGATTTGATATAATGTTAAGTTTGCGAATATAAATTGTACGTATGATATTTATGTTTGTGATTGCATTGTGGATTGATAACAGGAGTATAATTGCATTATAGCATGTGTTATTTGTGATTATATTTTGTACTACAGGAAGTATGAGTTTCCATGTGAATGTGGGGTGGAAGAGGTCTGCAAAATGGTCGGGGTTGAGAACCCCGACCATTTTCTGCACCAGCACTGCCTGTGTGTTTGGGCTCTGCTTAATGGTCGGGGTTGGGAACCCCGACCAATTCGAAATGGGCTCCGAATTGGTCGGGGTTCCCAACCCCGACCAATTTGTGCACTGGTCAAAACCAGCGGGTCTGGGCTCTGCCAATTGGTCGGGGTTGGGAACCCCGACCAATTAGGTAAGCGCCTCGCAGGGGATCGACTAAACAGTCGGGGTTGGCAACCCCGACTGTTTACGAAGCCGATTAAAAAATAATCGACCCGCTTTCTCGCCACGGCGCTGACGTGACGAGAAACCGGGTCGATTTCGGTAAATAAAACAAGGGGAGGTCGATTTTGATAATAAAAATTTAAAATGGGGCTACAATGAAAATTTGTTCTATAATAAAATTTTCGCAAAAACTGCTGGATGCGTACTTGCTGTGTTAACAATTGCAACAGCCTAATAATTACATCGACAATTATTCCATCTCCTAATTGCACTCCAGGGGGAAGTTGGCTAAAAAGAATAATAAACAGTTTAGACTAAAAAAATATTTCAGAATCCCAGAGAGAGAGAGAGAGAGAGAGAGAGAGAGAAATCGAGCTATGAATGAATGAAAAATGTCTCCGACCATTCGCTCCTCGTTGCGCTGGTGATCGCGAGCGCGCTCGTGGCCTTTCATCCTGCGCTCATCTCTTCTCCTCCTCCTCCTCCTCCTCCTCCAAATCACAACACCAGCTCTCTCTTTAGCCCTCCGATCTCAAACCCTAACCCTAACATCAGCATCAGGATCATGTCCAAGGCTCGCGTCTACACTGACGTCAACGTCGTCCGCCCCAAGGAGTACTGGGATTACGAGTCTCTCGTTGTCCAGTGGGGGTAAGGGGGTCTCCGAACCCT